ATATATATATATATATATATATATATATATATATATATATATATATATATATATATATATATATATATATATATATATATATATATATATATATACATAAATATATATATATATATATATATATATATATATATTATATATATATATATATATATATATATATATATATATATATATATATATATATATATATATATATATATATATATATATATATATATATACAAAACAGAGTGCTTAATTTTTATAATGTAAAAGAGCAATAATAAATTATTAGAAATCACCTTTTCAAGAGTCTTTTTTGAGGAAACAGTTTGAAAAAATAATTTATATATGATTTATACTAATTTATATATATATATATATATATATATATATATATATATATATATATATATATATATATATATATATATATATATATATATATATAAACATAAATATATATATATATATATATATATATATATATATATATATATATATATATATACAAAACAGAGTGCTTAATTTTTATAATGTAAAAGAGCAATAATAAATTATTAGAAATCACCTTTTCAAGAGTCTTTTTTGAGGAAACAGTTTGAAAAAATAATTTATATATAATTTATACTAATTTATATATATATATATATATATATATATATATATATATATATATATATATATATATATATATATATATATATATATATATATATATATATATATATATATACATATATATATATATCGATGACATTATGCACAGAAGTGTTAAGTGCTAAACTAAAAATCTAAATGTGGCAAAGAAAATTTGAACATTTATGCATAAAATTTTTTTTTCGTTTTTAAACTTGACATGTAAAATCAATTTGTAGACTCGTAACAATTTATCATACACTGACCATACTCGGACAGAATAATCTTTGAAAAATACAACAGTTTTTGTGTGCTTAGCTTAATTTAACCAAATGTTGTACTTAACACTTCTGCACATAATGCCATCAATATATATCTATTTAGTTGTGTCAATGAATTAAAAATGAATAAAGTTTAAATGATTTTTGACCCTTTGATACATCTAGAACTAGAGAAATATGTGTTTACACAAGAATTTTCAATAAAATGTATCAATTAGGATTTTAATTTTATTAGACTTGACTATATAGAACAGCAATTAAAGAAATAAATTTCTAGATACAATGTTAAACTGCAAAAATATTAGGCAAAATATTAGTAATATTAATTTATAAATACTAATTTATTTGTCATTCTTAGAATTTTTTAAACAAACAAAAAACTTACAAAGATTTGATAAAATGATTTTGAAAATATATTTTAGTTAAATATTTTTAATTGGCAATATAATAAAAGTCTCACTCAAAGTATATCCAAAACTACTCTGATATTAAAAACAGTAAAGTAATTTAAGAATTTTGAAGCTAGTGAAAAAAATGTAGCACTTAATATTCATAACAGTTAAATGTTCAAAAACATCAAACTTAAATACATTATATTGCATTTGCTTATGCGCAACATAAAAAGTAAAGATAACTTAGAAAATTTACTCACCGTTGATAAAAATTGCTTCTTATTAGTCATGAATAGTAAAATCCGATAATTAAAAAAATATTTTCCTGCCCAGAATGTTAAAGAACAAAATATTTCTACCAAATTTCAAGTTTTTGTGTCAAAGAACAAAAAATCAATCAACATTAGTATTGATTTTAGATCTATTGACACAACACAATAAACCATTTTACAAACATCTGGAAAAAAAGTGATAATACATATATATATATATATATATATATATATATATATATATATATATATATATATATATATATAAATATATATATATATATATATATATATATATATATATATATATATATATATATATATATATATTATATAGACTAAAAAAAAAATACATATATTTATCCACAGCTACTGTGTTTTGTCAAAATAGGGGATAAATTTGGCATAACACTTGCTCAGCTGTGCAAGTAATTATTATATTAGTAAAATTTTTAATATTAATGCCCGAGAGATTTTCATTTAACATTCAAAAATTTTCTGGTGGAATTATTTACCATTCATCATTAAATAAGATTTCAGTTTTTTCTTAAAAATAGTAGTTTTTTTTGTCACAAATGATATATGGTTATATGATATATATAAAGTTTAGAACCATAGTGTGATAATGCTTAATAACCAAAACGATTGCTACATTTTGTTTCCTTTAGTTTTAGTATTCTTTCTGACATTCAGTAGTAAATTAAATTGCATAATGACTTAATGCTTCCAAAATAATATATTTGTGTATTATTAGAAGACCCTTGAAACAGATTCTTTCTCTTATTTTTAGCCAATGCAATTTGTTAAGTCAATTCAATTTGTTAAGCCAATGTATTTTTTTTATAAGTATATAATATATATATATATATATATATATATATATATATATATATATAATATATATATATATATATATATATATATATATATATATATATATATATATATATATATATATATATATATATATATATATATATAATTATTATAAATATGTTTCAGACAACAGGTATATACAGTTTAGGTTCCAGGTTCATAGTTTTTACAAAAAAAAATTATTTTAAACTTTGATTAAGTGAACGCATGGAATTATTCACTAAGGAACAAGCCATCAACTGTTTACAAAAAGCATGTCTGTAGTTCGCGATAATTGTATGAAAAGATGATAATCTGTGCTCTAAAAGCATGAGAGATATACTATCATACTTGTTGTAGCCTAAAAAAGATTTTACTACATTTGTTGTAGCAATACTGAAGGCGTGCCATTGTTTTATCATTATAATTTTGCCACAGAGGAGCACCATATAAACAAATATTATATGATTTAAACAATTTAACCTTTACTCTGGTAGAGCATAAATGAAAGC